GTATCCAACTTCATTTATATACAAAGCTTCTTATTTACGTGTGCTCTCGTATTGGCTTTGCATTGCATCATTGCATGTCGGTGTCTTAGTCTTAGCTACTACAATTATTAGAGATGTTGATGCTTAAGCCTTTACCTAATGGTGGGCATCTGGGTTGGGTTGGGTTGTTCATGACATCAATGAACCTGGTCCACAACACATGGAAATAATAATAATACTTGTTTGTCCTAAATCCTGACACAATTACGGCTTCGGCTCTTTTGCTGGCTGTGCCCAATTCCCATCCATTCTAACCTCTATAATCCCACCTTTTTAACTCTAATAAGTTAAACTTTTACTTACTGTTGGATAAATTAGGGGTGTATATCAGTCCGAAACTAATACAATTTCCTCAATTCACATATGATTCAATATTTATTGGATTATGATTTTTCTAATTCAATCCGATCACATTAGGGATATAAATTTAATTCAATCCAATCATGTCGGTTTTCGACATTAGAAATTCAATTCAATCAGTCAAAATCATCAAAACCAATTAAAATTAAATTGAATCGGTCGGTTTGAATGAATTAAATTGAATCTTGTACAACCCTAAAACGAACACATTTTGTTGTGTTATACATATATTATACATAAATGGGCACATTGTTGTGAATCGTGATTTAGATGCAGTGTACATGTTTGACCACATTAATGGAAAGTCAAACTAGTGCAAACACGCAACAAACTGGTAAGCTATGTGAATTAAGACGAAGTACGAATACATCCGTATCTGATCATATCATTTAATCTGATATACTAATCAAGTTTCAACAAGGTGGACCACTTGAATATTTCAAACGCTAGTGACCAATTCCATACTACTCTTTCCAAATTTACCAATACAAAGCGCATAGACATCCTATTTTCCACCAAACCACCATGGTTTGGTAATGGTATTTAATTATCACCGTGCAGGAAAATAATCAATTATTTTTGTTCACACTATCAGTCAAATGGAGCACACTACAATAGTCATCTCTCAAACAAAAAATCTGAATATACTAATAGCGCCTGTCTGTCTGTGCACATCTACAATACAAAATAACAATTGCTGGAAGTAGACGATGGCGTGTACGGCCTTTGCTTTCCAAATTGATACATCCATTTGGTACATCCATCAACCATTCAAACTTCAAACAACCTACATTTTCATCAGAGGAGTTCTCAACTTTTCTTGCATTTGGTGGACTCCACCTTTTTTATAGAGGTGGAGTCTACTAATACAATGACGCTCACTTTTATTGGAGAGATAATACACAAAATGTTTAGCATTTTTGTTATATTATATTGTGTTGTACAACGAGCTAAACTAATATTGGATGGTATTTGACCATTCGTATGTTTTATATTACTATATCTCATGTTCCAAAATTAAATCATTTAACTCTTATTTATTTTTGGATTTTCTAAGGCATCATTTACATTTGCATGTATTTAGTTTGAAAGTTGATGGATTTTTTTGACTTTTTAAGAAAAATTTTGACTTTTTTCCAAAAGTGAAATTTTTTTTTGTGGTTAAAATCTAAATTTACTTATCTATATCAGTTAATGAAAGAGTCAGAGTACATATTTGAATTTTGTATTTAGTCAACCATATCTTGTTGTACAGTCCTCCTAATTTTGTCAATTTGTCACCATTATCTTTTCAAAGCCACGTATAAGGTTTAATGATTGGATCAAATTTTAACAGCTCCGAAAAAGGGTAAGCAAGTAAATTCCTGTAATCCTTTGCTTATTAGTTTAATTCCAAATTAGGCCGTGGATTAAAACGTTGAATCTAAATTAAATCGCGTGCGGAAATATCCGGAAACCTGCAGCAAACACAAGCTGTATTATTAAATACAGTGGAGCAAAATGGTTTGCTAGGTCAGGAACACACACCACCTAGTTTGACCAAACCTCCTTTTTTCCTTGACATTGTCAGATAAGATCGTCACACCTTTTCAAACACCCTTGCATTGTTTTATTCTCATTAAATCCTCATCCTTTTAATTGCCCTATATATATGCACTGCTTCCTTCCTGGATAAAGCGATTCAGTAATTTTATCTTCCTCCTCATACAATAATGGATCACAAACAAGGTAAACCGAAAAACAAGATCCTGAAATTTCTGCCCAAAGCCGCTTCCGGGGTTTATTTTCACAACCCTCCTTACAGCCCTACGAGAGACAGGAGATTAGAAAATGCCGCCAAGCTCAAAGCTCACGGCCGACGAGGATTCTCCGGCCCTTTAATGATCTCGGACGACGCCCGGAGAAAACCCAGGACTGGTAGCTTTGACTACCACACGCAAGAAGACGAACCCACCTCGCCAAAAGTGTCGTGCATGGGCCAGATCAAGCACAAGAAGCAGATTAAGAAAATAAAGCGTGCTAATATTCACAATTTGATCCCTAAAGATGCATCAAAGCCCCCGGCTCCGTGGTCTCCTCGCGAGATAAAGAAGCGCGGCTTTGCGTTCCGGAGGATGTTTAGCAGCGTAAACCCTGCAAGGAAATCCGATTCTATTAACGTTAATCATGATCATGATGGTACGGCACCGAGGCTTCCAGATAGAGCGCCTTCTTTGAGTCAGATGAAGAGATTTGCAAGTGGGCGGGGTAATGCTTTTGCAAACTTTGATATCAATCATCACGACTGTTCAGATGAAGAGAGAGGAGACAGCGATGGAGAAGAAGATGTGAGAATTGCCTTCTCAGCACCTCTAGTGGCTGGTGGAGATCAATTTCATCAAGTACCATTGCAGCCGAGGAAAGAAATCAACATATGGAAGAGAAGAACCATGGCTGCACCTAGTCCGCTAGAATTGAAGCCCATGGTCAGGGCTAATTAAATTTTTCATAATTTCAATTGCTTTAATTGTTATTCAGATCAGGCTTCTTCTTAGATATGTTTTCAGTCGAATCAGAGTTCGGAGTGCAAATTTGAGATGATGGGTTATGTTAATAGAAACATGCAAAGATATATATAAAACGAAAGTTAGGATCCGTGAGGACTGTTTGTTTACATGTCTTGGCTTTCTTCGATCTGGTTATTCTTTCTGATGAGGTTTAAGGCATAATAATTTGCTTTGGAAGTGAGTGAATGCAGCATCCAAAAACTAGAATACTGTTTTAGCCTTTTCAGCTAGCCGACAACCAAGCAAATAATAGTTATGATTAAGGGTGAGCCGTGTGCGTCGTATATATGTTTTGGTCAGCCAGCTGTCAGAATTGAAAATGTTTAGTTGCGAGGTTAAAGCCTTAATTAATTGGAGGTGGTTTGCCCGTCAATTCTGAATTGTTGGTGAGGTTAATTAGGATAGGATCATAGGAACCGTCTGTCTTGCACAGGACAGAGGACAGCCTAAATTTGATTCATTAGCGTTACTGCATGCCAATGGCCTAATTACCACTTGTAATTTTTAAAACCGAAGCCTAAATTCGACTACAATGCAGTAATGCTAGCTAATTAGCCTAATTGTCCGATACATGATTTTTCCATCACATACTAGTTCTTAGTTGCAGCGTTTCGATCAGTGCCAAAAAAACGCTTTGAGACGGCCGTTGCCAGCCACTACATAAACAAATAGATGAAGCTTTTGGTGGGATGGTTTTGGAACCTTTAAACTTATGATTTAGTGCAAAAGATTCACACTTTTTTTTTCCATAAGAAGCCAGCCAGCCCCTTTTGTCCCGGAGCGGAGGAGCACACAATATAAGTTTATACCATCTGGAATATGGAATATGGATATCTACCGAGTTATTGTCCCGCAAATACTAATTACAGTTAGGGCCCCAAGCCCAACCATGTGGAATATGGATATCTATATCTAGATGATGAGGGCTAGAATAATGCATTAAACTAGGAGTGGGCATCTCAACCCGAAAATCCGTATACTAATTGTATAGTATCGACAGTTTGGTTTGGTTTGGTATTGATCCGATCTGAAAAGTGTAGTTTGGTTAATAGGTAACGATATCTCATACTGCAGAAATCCATACAGAACCAAACGATAGAAATAAATTATTATTTAAATATAAATACACCCAACATGACACCATAAAACATCTACAACTAATTATAAAAATGGAGTACCACACCGAAAAATAGAAAATAGCAATGTAGGATACTAGAAACACAAACAGACCCTACTTGTTTACAAAACATGGTCTAGTTGAATTTTACTACCATATTGTACTTTTGTTCTACAAGCTTGAATGAATGTTGTTTTACCATGTTGTTTTATTGAATGAATATTTTTTTCTTGGGCTTGAGTTGGTTTTTTTCAACTAGCATTAGTAATAAATATTTTTATTCTTTTTTTTTTTGGGTTAAATGGTACTATCGGCGTATCGAACTAATCTGATTCGAAATTATGGTTAACCAATTGAATGGTTAAAGGGTTTAATGATTGGTTAACATAAGAGAAATTGGTCTACCAAAAGATTTGATACAATTAACAAAAAAGCTATCTACAGTTCCGCGCCTACATTAAACATCTATTTTGTTTTACTTTTAAATTTTAAATTTTCAAATAATTTTATACCCGACATGTTTGAAAACTATGATCAATAGTAACACTAACCGGATGATGCATTATTTTTGTCAACAAGAAAGAACAATAATCTACAGCTGACAAACTTTGACTGCACCCAATTTTGTAAAAGACTTGGCCAACATGTGATGCCCACTGACACAATCGGGTGGATCTTGGTAAGGGGCCTTTGGGCCCTCTGATGGCCTAAATTAAGTTCAGTTTGTCTGTCTTGCGCAATGCTACCACTACTACTAACACAACTATGCTATTGGCACTCAAGCAAAGCAGCGAATGTTGGACGACTTTGCTTTCAGAGAGAGGGCCAATAACAGCAGCTTCTTATCTAAAAGCCCAAACCATTCAAAAATTTCCACACAAAAGAAAAACAAAACCCAAAAAAAGAAACAGAGAAAACAGAGTAGCAGGGGACACATCAATTCTAAGTAAATTTTTTATTCAACTTCATGTATAATTAAGGTGACTCTTTCTCATAGTCACAGAAACAAGTAGTAGAAATTTTTGTAAAAATAATTTTGATGAGAAGGGAAGGGAACTAATAAGTCACACGGACTCCTTGGTATCTCAGAATCTCACCAATAAGCTCCCCTTTACCAGAGCCCACATACCTCCCGCAAATCTCACCATCTCTAATGAACAAGAAAGTAGGCACCTCCACCACCTCCATGTCCTTGAGGAACTGCAGGCAGCTATCATTCTCATCACCGTTCATTCTCGCGAACACCACCGTGTCTGACATCTTCCTCGACAGCTTCACCACCGTCGGATACACCTTCACACAGGGCCCACAGTGCTTGAGCCCCACATCAAGCACAATCAGCTTGTGGTCCACCTTATGCTCTGCAATCAACTTCTCCAAGTCCTCCCTCTGATGCAGTTGAACCACAGCAGAGTGGTTGTCCCCGTAATACAGCACATCTCCCCTAAGCCGATCTCCGTCTATTCCTTCCTCTTCGTGGATTTTCTCCATGCTTTTGTAGAAGCTGAAATGTGGGACTTTTTCAATTTTCTCTCTTCTGAAGAGCTCTCTGGTCTTTTCTGATTCGTCCCCCATTACCAGCAGGAACTCCACGTCATTGCAAGTACGGCTGAGGTCCACCATAAAAGGGTACATTTTTCTGCTCTGGGCGCTGTCGCTGACGGCAAATTCGACGACCACGAGCTTGTTTTTGGCTGTTTCAAGGGCATCGTCGAATTCCTGTATGCTGTGCACTTTCTGCACTCTTTCATCGCTTTCCACTTTCTTAGTGCCAGGGGCGGCTGTAGCCTTGGTAATAAAGCTATTGAAGTGGCTTTGGTTGGCTTCTAGGTTTGTCGACAGAGGTTTTTGTTTGTTGACCAAGCTTAAAAAGGAACAGTGCCGGTACAGACCACTGTTTTTTGGGATTGAAGATAGAGATGAAGGGGGTTTTGCTAAGAAACTTGCGAGTGTCGCCATTGAAACTTAACTGTCTAAGAGGGAAACGGGAGATTTGCTTATTCTAAGCTAGCTACGAATGAATCTACAGAAACTTACGGGGAGAGGGTGCCCTGAAATTATCTTCAAATCTCCAAGTGCCAAAACTTCCTTCACATCCACTCGTTTGCTTGTGGTTCATATTATCCACTGACCCCACCATACATATATATCTAAATGTAAGGCGTCTGGGTGTGGAGAGCATATTCATCTTTATTCCCTTCTAATCATACAGTACGGTAAAGCCCAAAATATTTTCTGTTGTTTTCAAATTAACAAGTACGCATGCATGCCTAAAAATGCAAAGTTGATCCACAAAGTTTGGGCTTCTACTTTTATACTTGATATGGGTTTTGGTGCTGCTAAAAAGTTGTTGACCCAAATTTGAAAATTAAACACTGCGACTAATTTAGTGGGAAAAAACTCGTATCGCAGTTATGATGCCTCGTTTAAGAATGGATCCAGATCCTCTGTTATGATTTTCTCCATCATAGACTCCCTGACTAGTCAACAATAGACAGGCCTGCCATAAGTATTGAGCCATTTGGATAGAATCACCTGATATTTTTCCCCTCGAACAAAGTAGCTACACACACGCAACTAGCACGAGAGTTTTGACAAGTCAAGAAACAAGAAAATAAATCATCATGTCCACAACAAAATATCTTCTACTCAATATGATTTGGGAGAATGACGAACACGAAAAACTCTGGAATGCGGAGATTTCTGGCCACAGGCTTAGTGATAACACGGATGCATACCGTTTTTCACTCCGTGTCCATAAAGGCCTGGAGACTATTTAATCAAAACAAGACCAATCGCCCTCAGCAATGTCTATTCCAGATTCAGAATGGAATTGGGCCCTGGAAAAATATCAAGTATATAAATTCGGTGACATTTCTTAAATAGGTTCATTAGGGCAATAGTCTATTAACTTGCAGTTGAGTTTCGTGCTTTTCACTTTAATCATTTTTGTAAATTTCATGTCAATTCTAGAACAACCAGTAATTTCATATTTACACCATTGACATAATTAACTCTATTGGGGATCAAATTCCCTCCCCGCCCCTCCGGATACATTTTTTAATGTATTATTTAATTCAATATACGATATGATATGAGGAATATTATAAAATTTGGTAAGAGTTGTGAGGACGGACTTAACAATATATTGATATGAAAAATAAATAATATATATTCTAAATGAGACGAGTTCAGGTCATGAGGAGGAACTTAGCAATATATTCATATGAAAAATAATTAATATATATTCTAAATAGGGCGGATTCGGGTTGGGGATTAGAAACACCATAAACGAAAATTTTCCCAAACTCATCCTCGTATCCAATTTCTATTCTTCATACTTGACCCATTAGTGGACCGTTAGTATTCATAAGTTTTCAAGTTTTACGACACTCATGAATCTCGACAATTAAAAAAGTCATGAAGTACCCATAAAGGCAATAGCGCATGGCAATTCAAGTGCCAATTTAATAAATGAGAATACGCGTAGGCATTAATATGTATAATTTAGTTCATATTAATAATATTTATGAGATGAAGCCAAGAAGGAAGAACCATTCCGTTCACAGTCGTTTCATTAATTTATATAGAACTTACAAAAAGAATAAGTCATTCATAAGTGCAAATAAATACAGGGTGGCGGAAATTATGAAGAGAATTTACAAATAAAAAAAGAGGGGGTTGGTGGTGGATGGATCTGGCAAATCATCGACAGAAAGCAGTGGGTGAGAGATCCAAACCCGGATGTGGACCCGTATGTCGCCATGTTTGTAGGCTAGGCGTAGTAAAATACCAAACATCGCGCATAAGATGACACACAAACAAACAAAAAGCCAACACAGATTTGGCGGGATTCTGACTCTCTTATCAACTCTCCCTCTATCTCTCTCTCTACTCTCACTGCTCAGCTCAGTCTCCAGACTTTCCTCCAGTGCTTGCCACCTAACCTAACACAAGTCACCCAGCTTAGCTTAGCTTAGCATCCTCCGCCTCATGCTTTTATTTATGTTATGTTGTCTCTCCTCACAAGCCCATGTGCTCCATCGTGTAACCCCGCACTGGGTCCCACAACACAATACACCTCGACAATGGATCCTTTCCTTGGTTTCCCCTGTTGTCACTTCCACCCTTTCCTCCCTGCACAGCAGTGGACCCTAATTATTTTTTAACTCGCTTCCCCTTCATTCACGGTGGACCTCTTCTCCTCAAATTTGTTTTGTAACAAATTTTGCGAAATTCCTGATATGCTAATAAAATGTGGGCGAATTTAGAAAACGAATGCACATGTTGTGTGGTGCTGCCGATAATGCACATAATTCAAATTACCAAAAATTAAAAATTCAAGACGGTAACCAAACCCTACCAAGATGCAAATTTAAGATGCCAATCCAACCACGAAACTCAAATAATTCCAAATTAAAATACAAGAGAATAATAAATTAGCAGGTTAAGTAAATAAAAGGAAAACAAAACCTAGATTAGAAGGATAATTAAAACGAAGTAACAAGAAAAAAAAAAAAAAAAAACAACAAAAAGGGGCTAAGGTAAAATGGGAAGGGGAGTGGACCAGCGATACCGTCACAGGGTACAAGGAAACTAAGAAGATTTTGCTGTTTCCGGCTTCCGGCAGAGGATCATGTGCATCGGAGTGAAGATTCCGGACTCGCCGCCCCTGGTCAAATAGTCAGCGGTTTTGAACAGCATCTCGTGCACATCCACCGTGCCCTTGGGTGCAACTCCGATGGCTGCCAGCAGAGTCACCAGAATGTGGTTGCGCCAGTAGGCGATCCTGCCCATCTTCAACCGGGTCCACCACGGCTCCGCCGGCGGATTAGCCAGATCTCGCTCCTTCACCACCTCAAAGCCGACCTTCCTCGCCGTCTCCGCAATGTCCACGTAGCTCCTTAGGCCAGGCAAGGCGTCCCCTCTCTCAATCCCCTGAATGACCTCCACGTGTTCCGCGTCGTCTCCCTTGTACTTGTCTGTCGTTACCCACTCGTACGACACGTACAGAGATCCCGGCTTCAAAACCCTAAAGATCTCGGCGTACACCTCCTCCAGCTTCGGCGCGTGGCACGTCGCCTCGATCGAGTACGCGCCGTCGAAGCTGTTCTCCGGGAACGGCATCTCCAGGAAATTCCCACACACCACCTCGCACAGAGAGTCGAGGCCTGCCTTCTTGTTGTGCAGACGCGCGCGTTTCACCTGGTACTCGTTGATCGTGATCCCGACCACATTGGCACGAGAGTGAGCTGCGATGGCTCGCATGGGACCACCAACACCGCATCCGACGTCCAGAATTCGATCTCCGGGTTTGACGTCGATGAGATCGACGGCCATCTCCTCGTGGAGGCGCGTGGCGTCACGGTGGGACTTTCCGGGGAGGGAAGGGGAGAAGTGGAAGGACTGGCCCCATCCCCACTCGTAGATGTCGGTGACTAAATTGTAGAAGGTGTCCACAAAGTCGGGAACCTTCTCGGCGGTTTCGATCTCTTTGGGGCGGCGGAAGAAAGACCAGTACTTGTCGTAGTTGTCTTGGACTTTCTCTGCGGAGATGGAGCCGCCGGAGAGATCTACGGCGCGCTTGCCCTTTTGCTCGGCTGGGCCGAGAATGCAAACGAACCAGTAGAGCCCACCGGCTAGGAGGGCCCCAGTACAGAAGAGAGTGAGAGAGTCCATTGGAGTTTGGAAGAGAAACACAGAGAGAAAGAGAAGAGTGAAGGAAGGGAGAGAGGGAGAGACTAGTGGAAGAAAGGGAGAAGTGCTTGGTCTCCCCTATTAAATTCCTGTTTGGCAAAGCCACTAATTGGGTATTTAAGTTTTTTTATTACATCCAATATAATCTAATTGCACGCGCGTAGCTTCTGCGTGGATCCAGCTATCCATATTTTAACACGTGGATTCAGAAGAGGACAAAAGGCATGCGCTCCAGATACACTTCAAACTTTGTGTTTATTACGGCTCTACCCAGGTATTTCCCGCTGTAAATAGAACGAATATCTAGGGGTTGATATAGGAGAGAAAATGGTTGTATTTTTGTTGACAACTGTATTTTTTTTATTTTATATTTAAGATGATATGGGTAATTACTAATTAGGGTAATTTTTATTGAGGTTTTTCGAGGGCGGGGGGGATTTATTTTCTTTTTTAAACATCTAACTTGATTTGTTTCAGTTATTTCTTAGTACTATAAATAATGTTGATGTAAGTGAAGTTAGTGGAGGAATAACGTTATCAAATGCTAACAATAACATCAACAATGAACGTCTTTTAATGGTAACTAATACATGATAGAGTCATCAACATCACTCAAAAAGAAGAAAAAACCTAGTCCTCATTATAAACAAGATGGATTTAAGGAAATTATTAGTGAGAAATCAAAAGGAATCCGCAAGTAACAAGAGTCTCCTCATAAGTCATAAATCATAATGAATTTCCTAAAAGAGACCCTGAGCTTTGCTTACTGACAATAACAAATGCTCACATTTATGAATTGGTGAGCATCAGTGATCATGTGGTAAACCTGAACGCATTAGTTATCAAATGCTCTTTCTTTAAAAAATATTTCTCTCTCCTTTGGCTTTTCCCAAAATGTCCCTACATGGAGTTTCGGTTGATGAATTATTTAAATAAGTTTATTTGAGAGACATTTTTTAGGGTCCAATCCGTATTGTATTTTATTAATCCAAACCATCTATTTTGTAGATACTCATTCAAATATTATCTCTAAAAAAAATTACTTAAATCCGATATCATTTTACCACTCAATTGAATTATTGAAATTTTAGTACTTTCTTAAAGCACCGCGTTTATTGATTCTATATGACACAATTAGATATCAAAACGGTTTTCAATTTGTCTAATTTAAGGAAATTATTATTCAAATGTATACTTTTATTTATAAAAAAAAAAAAACTATAAAAACAGAAAATACCCAAACAAAGCTAATAATTTTAGCTAGCCCACCCGTTAAAAAATTCATAGTTTCGTCCTAGATCTCTTTGTAAACACCAGCAGCAGAAACGAAGAAACCCTTATTCTTTTATTTATTATTTATATATTTGTTCTGGGATGAAAGTGGTTTGCAAGCGTATCTCTGGCCTTGTTCACATTGTTCATATAAAGAGAATGAGTCAACAATAAAAATCTAAAATGAAAATATTGAAAATACAATATTACACGACCAGATCGCAACTCCACGTGATGACTTGTAAACTTTAGGGCAATGAGTGACTCAGTGATGATATTAAATCTTGCAAGTTGCACGTCTCTTGCGATACTTTCTTTCTAAAAAATAAAAATAAAAATAAAAACACAGAAGGCGCGCCATAGCGAATAGAGACAGGTCCAGAATCGCCAGATGGAGGATGGTCTATAATCTTTAATCTTGAATTTTGTGTGTTGTTTGATATACAAGTACATAGATGATGGACCAGATGGTAGCGAGCCAATCACGTGGAAGCTTCTTTATCAACAGTCACACCACGGACTTTGCAGATTTTTTTTCTTATAATATTTTCTGATTCCGGAAAAACAAGTCCAAAAGTTGCTTTTGGATCTGTAAATATCTATCTGTGTTTTCTTTTTCTTTTCAGAATATTCCCTTTTGGTGTTGCTCTGCTCTCTTTCCAATTTCCCTTCATTTTGTTTAACTTTAAGTTTAACCACGGTTGCATTGCATTATTCTTTTTCATTATTTAATCATAATTGCGGCATTGATTTGCGTAAATTACACAAGCTATCAAGCCTAAATGGTGAATAATAATCTCATCTTTTCTTATTTCCAGTGGCACAACACAACCTTTCTTTCCATGATTAAAGAAAAGCAAATTTTATTTTTTTTATTTTTTTTATTTAAAACAAGTCTTAAAAATGATCTTGGATCACAGGCTTTGGATTCGACCCCAACCCGAAGCTTCGTAGAAGGGCCATCCCATAAAATCCAGCCCGTGAAGGTTAACAATAGCTCAAGTAAACGCCCAACAAAAGATATGACACAGCCCAAAAGAGATCCTGGAGGTGTCAAATTCACCTTGTCACCTTGTCATCTTTGATTTGATACAACGTATTTCCGTTCATTGGGCCCCTCACCCTCATCCTCAGTGCGCTGCATACTCCAGTTCCAGTACAGTACAGTACAGTACAACAGGGAGGGAGGGAGGGAGGGATGCACATGCAGCACAAACATACAGAGAGATACAGTACAAAGAAGATGAAATAAAAGTTATATCGAATCCCAAGCTAACCAACAAAACTCATCAATGAAAACTAAATAGATAGATACTGCAGCAAGTAGAAAGAGTCAAACAAAGTAAGGGGAAAAATTCAGATATTCTCGTTTTTTTTTTTTTTTTTAATATGAAGGTATTTATACAGGTGCAAAGATGTGTTAACCTTAAATAAAATAGAAAATATATCTAAATTACAATAGAAAATAAATATAAATTATAATAGGAAATAAATCTTAATTATAATATGACTAGATAAATAGTAAGTAACTAAAATCCTAACATAGTAAAGAACCAAAATCCTAACTAAGTAAAGACTCACACCACACGGCAGAGTGGCTCTGATACCAAATTGTCACATCTCAGGATCGGCTCCACCGTAGCACGATATTGTCTGCTTTGGGCCTCCCCTTTCTGCCCTTACGGTTTTGTTTCTAGGAGCTCACGAGCAGCTTCCTAGTGGGTCACCTATCCTGGGATTGCTCTAGCCCCCAACTCGCTTAACTTCGGAGTTCCTATGACTCCGAAGCCAGTGAGCTCTCAAAATGCCTGGTGCTAGATGGAGGTGGGTATGCACATATAAAGCACATCACCCCCTTTCCGTTGGTCGATGTGGGATGTTACACACCAATTGTAGAGAAGGTCTTTTAGTCAACCACGAGTGAAACAAGTGACAAACTAAAGCAAAGTTTGCAGCGGAAACACAAGAGTAAACCATAAGGCACATATCAGAACACAGAAACCCTGTGAGCACGGCAATAGGTAAGGCAGAACACAGAAAAAATAGGGCACATAGTAGAACACAGAAACCCTGTGAGCGCGACAATTGGTAAGGTAGAACACAAAAAAAATAAGGCACATAGCAGAACACAGAAACACTGTGAGCACGACAATAGGTAAGACAGAATACAAAAACCATGTGAGCACGGTAATAGATAAGGCAGAATACAGAAACCCTGAACACAGAAACCCTATGAGTACAACAGTAGGTAATGCAGAACACAATCTCTGTGAGCACGGTAGTAGATAAGGCAGAACACAGAAGCCCTGTGAGTACGGGAGTAGATAAGGCAAAACATAGACACGAAGGTAGTAAGGTATGCGGCAACACGGTAGCAAGATAGATAGCGGCGGTGGGCTAGGATTATAGGCTAGGTGTATAGTGCAACAAAAATAGGTAGTGTTTAGGGTTAAGGTAGAGACGAATCAAAACACAGCAACATCAACGGTGACAGTATCGGCAACCGCAACAATAAATTCTTCCATATAAACTTGAGTTAATTAACGTAGACACAACTTCTCTTCACTCATCCTCTCCCCCTGAAGAGAAGGGGTCGTCGGAGTCAAGAAATAAGCAACATTTTCGAGGGTATACATTAAAGTAATGTGGATATATCAATAAACATATCCATTTCACTCCCCTTCCCCCCTGAAGAGGAGGGGAGAAGAACACTTAAATTTCAAAAAGAACGCAAGCACAGGTCACAAGAGAACCTGGCTCTGATACAAAGTCAAACAAAGTAAGGGAAGAAATTTAGATATTCTCATATTATTATTCTTCTCCAATATGGAGGTATTTATACAAGTGCAAAGATGTGTTAACCCTAAATAAAATAGAAAATATATCTAAATTACAATAGAAAATAAATATAAATTATAATATGAAATAAATCTCAATTATAATATGACTAGATAAATAGTAAGTAACTAAAATCCTAACATAGTAAGGAACTAAAATCCTAACTAAGTAAGGACTCGCCAACAGAAAGCGCATGAGGGAGGGAGTAGATGAGACTTGCAAGCGTCAAAGCGTAACAGCATTCTAAATGGGACCTATACGTAATATTAATACATAGTTAAGTTTAGCATCAAGGAAGGAGGAGTAAGTGTAGCAGTTTAAACCTTGTCCTTCCTTTGCATCAACTTAGAAGCTACGCATCCTTTTGCTTCACCTTCGCATTTTGTTGCTTTTTGGCAATTAACTTTTGGCACGACATTTTGAACATAAAGGGATGCCTCAAATTGTGACCGCCATCCGCTATATAGCAAAAATTTGAGGACAAGGTGTACGACAGACAGTGCACGTATTTCTTTTAAATCAAGGTCCTTTGCTGTCCAACTAGTCTTTTTTCTCCTACACCCAGTTTCAGTTAAGTTGGGATAGTGGCGTTTCCTTGAGCCACTCTTCTGCTTCTTTTCTTATAGTCATATGTGGGTTTAGCTTTTAGCTATAGCAGTTCAACACTCAACTAGAAAATACACAAATTTGGTAAGAGTGAAGTGATCATCTTCATCTTCATCTTCATCTTCACACATACATTGGATTGGAGGAAATGGAAAATCTTTCAGGTGGAGGGTTAGGCCACCTCTTCATGGCAATCTTTCTGCACAACTTCGCCACGTTTATGGTGATCCCGGCCATTACCGACGTTACTATGTCTGCACTTTGTCCTGGAAGAGATGAGTGCTCCATCGCTATCTACCTCACTGGATTTCAACAAGCGGTACGTATGTACGCATTTCCAATTGTTCATAACCCAACATGATTATTTTATCAGCAACCAAATTCATATCAGCTTAGCGAGCTAGCTTTTCAGGTCCAAGATGTTCTCTTTTGATTTCTTTGCTCAATAAACATGTTATGATCGAACACATGCGCATATTATATAGAGTACGTATTCGAGGATTTTATTTAAAACTTTTTTCGGAGGTGAATTAATTATAAATGGTTTTCCGTACGTATTAGAGGATTTCAGTTAATCAATGAATCATAGACGACGACGTCCGCATGTAGACCGTTAAAACTTAAAGGCTGCACCTGCCCCTGCAATGCTGCAATGCAATGCAGTCTGCAGAGCAGGATTTTCTTCATGCTCTGTTGTCTGTTAAGCCGGCGTCCCTCCCTCTTCCTCCCTCCCTCCCTCCCTGTGCATGTATAAGTTTTAAACCGCAAATTCAAATAGAAATGAAGTTACAGACCAAATGTTCAGTCACGTAGAGAGTAAACCAAACTTTGTCTTTCTTCAAAGGAAACTTCCCTTTGGTTGGGTTCTCGTTCATCTTTCAGTTTCAGTATTGGTCGTTTAATTTAAAGAATATATGGACAAATTTTCAAAAGTGAGGGCCCACAGTTACACGCTTTACTTTTCTGAAAACTTGAATTAGGTTATTTGGTCATCTCACTAAGATGCAGAGCAGACTGTCGTTTATTCTCTCTTCCCAGACACAGTTTGAGAGTCCAGTCCCCTGTGAAATACATTTATGCAATTTCTATGTATGTCATTCAGCCTGGCAGTGGCTAGCAATTCCTAGCAATTCCTAGTAATCTACAGGTCGGCAAGCAAAGCATCTAAAGATTTCAAAAACAGGGCCCCACTAAGTAGTAACTCAATCTCATGTATGAGCTGAGCTTGATTTGGTTACTTAGAGGTAGAGAGAATCAACTTTTAAGCAACACAAGGCTGAGCAGAGATTAGTCTAAATCTGATTGTGATTAGACCTCTATTTCTACTTTCACTGTCAATCCAAAGGATGCTCATGCTGTCACACACACTAATATTTCTGCAATTCACATATTCCAAGCAGCTGGGTCCTGACCCACCTTAATTTTCGTCATCGAAAATCCAAATAATTGATTCATTGCTTGGGAAGTTTCCCTTGGGTTCACGACAAGTGCATTTTGGCACGTTTACAGTTTAAGGACAAACTTGCAAGCAAGGGACCTTGACTTCTACTAACCATCACATTTTGATCGCCTTGCTCATGCCATCAAATCTTTCCATTCCAACAAATCCTCTGATTGTCAGTTCCTTCTAATGAATTGATTTCTACATAAGCACACTGTTTTTCATGTGATACAAATACAATACAACTCTAACATGGATATCTCATCCCCACTTCCCCTGTTTTTGGGTCCATTAGAATTCACGAGCATGCAAACTAACTTGGAAAAATGTCATCTTCATGACCACATGCATGCCTGCATACTCCACCTAATTCCTGACTCTGTAAGCTACATAATTGGACTGTGGACACCCAATATATCGTTAATTCGGTGCCTAAGAGTAATAATTAACCCCTAGTTTATTTATTTTGGTTGAAATTGAAAACAATTAATGTGTGAATATTTATTTATGCAGATCGTAGGGATGGGAACACTCGTGATGATGCCTCTGGTAGGGAATCTCTCAGACAAGTGTGGGAGAAAAGCTTTGCTTACAGTGCCAATGATCCTAACAATTATCCCCTTAGGTACTCATATCGTATAATTCTTTAATCTAAAATGAACATGGATGATTGAACTTAAAGATAGCTGAAGGGTTTACTTGCAGCAAAGATATATACCGATTGAGATATATACAGGTCAAACCAATCAGTACAAAGATAAAGTCATGATAGAGGATTTAATAACACTACTGTTTCTAACCAATTATTTTGATTATCTTGTTCACCTGTCACTTTTATTAATAGATTCTTTCAATTGGACCCTTGGAAGAAAAACAGGCACCTTAATTTAATTGAATGTAACTTTCCCCACCAACATTAACTAAAAAAACTTTTTCAACGAAGGCTTTGGATTGAATGTATTCAACCACAACTTTAGCGTTTTCTTTTTCTTTTTGTTTGGTATTCAAACTCTTCTTAGAATTATTATTTTTATTAAAAGCTAGATTATATATTTTGTTTCCGCAGCGAATAATGTAATTGTGTATATTCAAATTGAATTAAGAGGATAATTGAGAAGAGCGTTACAGGGATATTGGGTTACAGCCGGAACAGGACTTTTTTCTACGTCTATTTCGTGGCCAAGACCCTCACTGCCATGATTTGTGAAGGCAGCGTTCATTGCCTCGCCCTTGCCTATGTGGTAAAACTCTTTATCTCTGTTCTCTCAACTCTCTCATCATTTGGTTCAATTCCATGAACATCCTCCACTTCATTCTCTGTTCTTATTTGGGGGCTGACCTAGAAGTCAGGTGCTTAAAACAATTAAGCCCATTACTTTAAGATTAGTTGGGCCTAACGAAGTAATTAGGCCCAGTCTGTTTTAATTGGTACTGAATTTGATATAATAACGGCCCTCTCCATTTCCCTCTTTCGTTCGTTCCTCATCATCAGTGGAGTGTTCATTAGCCCTCCTTCTCGTTTCTAAAAGAAAAACGTACACAAAATATGTTTGATTCGAATTTGGTGGATGGATGTGTGAAATGTATGAATTGAAATGATGATCAGGCAGATAATGTGGCAGAAGAGCGACGAGCCTCCGCGTTCGGAGTACTCTCAGGGATTGGTTCCTCTGCATTCGTCTGCGGAACCCTCTTTACTCGTTTCCTCTCCACTTCCTCCACTTTTCAGGTCAACTGAAGTTCCTCTCTCTCTCTCTCTCTCTCTCTCTCTCCTCTACTCTATCATGTCTGGATGTCTGGAAACTAATTATGGTTTGATTGTGTTGTTATTAGGTTGCGACGTCGGTGGCGGTGGTAGCGGCTATGTACTTGAGGATTTTCCTGCCGGATTCCAACATAGACAAGAAACTTTCCGCTCCATTACTCTCAGATGAAAAACAAAAAATTGCAGACTCAGATGAAAGTTCAAGGGCTCAAATATTACAGCCAGCCAAAACATTGCCTTCATTACATGATTTAATCTCCTTGTTGAAAACTAGGTCAGTTCATTTCCTGCTAAGGGCTGCCCTCCGCAGTATCATCAAATATTCCCTTGCCTGCGAATTTTGCAATTCCAATAATTGCACACTCTCAAATTAATTTTCAGCGCAACATTTTCGCAAGCTGCAATTGTAGCGTTTTTCAGCAACCTAGCGGATGTTGGCCTTCACGCTTCAATGATGGTACGTCTCTCTAGGAAGCTCCCGGCAATAAAATTAGATTATGGTGTTTAAAATTTGAACATAAACTCTGATTAATTTTACAGATAAAGATTAAGAAACAGGTTAACTTATATTATTTTCTCTCATGTTTTTGGATGGTTAGAATAGAATCATATAGTGATGAACTCTGTTGCACATAAGAAGATGCAGTGATTGAAATTCATTGCTTGTTGTGCAGTACTACTTAAAGGCTCGGTTTCACTTCAACAAGGATCAGTTTGCTGACCTGATGGTCATTTCTGGGGTTGCAGGCACTATTTCTCAGGTACTCCGCTGGTTTGGCCGCCTTTATGATTTCCTTTGCTTACTACCTTCTTTCATAGTTTCGGTTTCATTTTCCATAGTACTGAAAACAGAACTTCATGCAGCTGCTTCTCATGCCCTTGCTGGCTCCTGCGTTAGGAGAGGAGAAGCTACTTTCGATAGGACTCTTTTTTAGCTGTGCACATGTAAGCAACCTGGCTGTCTGTTTTTTTTTTTCATAGCTCCCAACATGTTACAATAATATGATCTTCCTTGTCAGACAACTGTAGATTTGTCAATACTTGCATTGCACTCACCAAAAGTAAAACTAAGAATATAGCATTTATATTAAGGTTGTATCTAATAATTTGCATATTATTGAGTGCAGATGTTTCTTTATGGCGTTGCGTGGTCCTTCTGGGTACTTCTTTACAACTTTAATGGCAATCACAAGTGTCTCTTTATTTTAGACAAATTACATTCAGATGTAGTATATAGCTAGTAGGACTTTATCAATTTCTCAGATAATTTCTGGTATTTGTTTAAGCTAACTGACATTGTGTCTCAGTATGGCTAACACTTTGAAAGGTTATAGGTCCCATATGCTGCTGCCATGTTCTCCATCTTTTATGTGTTCGCAACACCATGTGTAAGTTTCATCATTTCTGCTTTGAAAGTTAAACGATCTCAAATTTTGTCTTTAAAGTAATTCAGTTCAAACTTTACAGATGCGAAGCATTGTGTCTAAACAAGTTGGTCCATCTGAGCAGGTAGTTTTCTTGAGAGCGGCACCTATTTAATTGATAGGCTTCATATTGATTGTTTGTTTGTTTGTATAATAAAGTCTATCTTTACACGCCCAAGTATACATTATGTTTTCACATATGTACGCCCCAATCAGGGAAGTTAAGAACTGCTCAAGTTCCCTTACCCTGCCTTTTGGCTCCAATTCTTTTGAGGTATGCCTGACCCTTTTATACATTATTTTCAGGGGAAGGCTCAAGGGTGCATTTCAGGCATATGTTCTTTTGCAAATGTTATATCTCCCATTGCTTTCTCTCCTCTAACAGGTGATTTGAAACGCCACTTAAAGTTTTGCTGGGCTAAAAAGTTAATTCAAACTGATAAAGTCAAGTTGTGCTTCCAGCTTTGTTCCTGTCTGAAAAGGCGCCAATTAATTTCCCAGGTTTCAGTCTCATTTGCGTAGGATTTGCTGCGGTAAGAACTTATACAGTGATATAATAGATGCTTATTTTAGTCTAGAACTAGTTGTTATAACTGTTGTTCACTTTTATGAGGTTGCTCGCTTGCAAGCTATCAGCTGGTCCTGATAACATAGAAGTGATTTTGCATATTAGAGTAGGTAAAAAATGAAATTTCTGGCCTAGATTAATTCTTTGAGAGGGCTCTTTTATTTCAGCTTTGTAGTTTTTTCTCTTCTTGTTGACTTGATTTAAAAGGGTCTTGTATGTGTGTAGATGATAGCCTTTATTCAAAGCGTGATGATAAGGGCTGTTCCTCCCATCTCAAGTCAACGGATCAGCAGCCATTGCACTCACATGGAAGCCTGAATTCCACAATGTGAAAGCTCGAAGAAAAATTGACCCTTGCGTGGCCCCAGGCTGACCCTGGCACACCAAGAACTGCTGTAAAGTTCAACGGTCATCTTTTGGTTCATGTTTTGGAAGGTGACATTGTTGAGCTTGGTTTTGTTTCAATCAAAGTCACCTTTCATCGCTAAACAAAACATGATACTAAAAGCCCAATCATGTAACTTTTTGTCATTTGTAGTAGAATGCTAGAGCAAAGTGAACCAAGTCAGTATATTTTTGCTCTTCTTTTTGGTCTGTATTTAATTGAATTGAATCGATGGAAAAAAGCTTGATCAAGTGAAGCTTCTTTGCCACAGATTTGGAAGTTTCAGGCCTTTGTTTTTTCAGTATATCGTCTCAAATATATGCCATGGAATTAGAGGTTCCAACACCCATTTTTATTTTTATGGGTTTGTTGGGCTTTAAAATTGGGAGCCACAAACAAAACAAAAAATCGTTAAGAGGTCAAAAGCGAGTGTGAACGAGAGTTGCGGGAGGGAATTAGGCAACCAGGATGGGCTTGTCACTTGAGGAGAAGATGATGAGAAGGTAAGGGCCCACACGTATGTTTTTTCTTTTCTTTTCCTTTTTATTAATTGGGTGGGAGCTCAAGTCTAATCATGTCTGTTTTCTTTTTCTCGTCTTCAAGCAACTGGAGAATTCTGGTACCTTGAAATATCAAATGTGGTCCTGTTTGATTTTAGTTCCAGCGAAGTGAATGGAAATTCACGGTGAGTCTGAACTGAAGGATTTGAGCGTAAGAATGACTGGATTTAAGCCAGGCACAAAACAAAGACTGGGATGATGATGCGCAAACTCGTTTTCCTCCTCGTGCGTAGACATTATGAGGTACAAAAATTGACCTTTTCTGTTTGGTTGGATACCTCTTTTGGCTGACGGGAGACTTTGTGGGAAACATGTAGTTTGTGGGACCAAGGAACTCCGATAACATCTCTCCTCTCAAAACTCGAACTATATTTTTGGGCGTATCAACAGACAAGTCAAACAAACCTCATCAAGCAAGCAGCATATTAAATTTGCGTTAGACAACTCATCTACCATGTTCCGAGTGACAGCAAACCATACCCAATATTGTAACCTCCGTCACATCGTTGCCAATACCATCACGTGGCGGACAATTGTTTGAGCGTGGTCCTAAGAAGAAATTACAAATACAAAATATGGAAGTAGAATTGAAGCCCTTTGCCAAACAGAATTTTCTCTAGATCATGCAGCTAAATTAATTCACAAAAAGGACAAGAGTGACATCCCTTTATTCTAAATCAAAAGGGAAAGTAATATTGCTCTTTGTTGTTCATTAAAATTGCCCCAAAAGGGCTAAAATACGACGATGCTATCATGTCCAACTCTAATCACTCATCTTTCTCTTCTTAAAAGCCACTTTGATCTTAAAAAGGATTGATTGCAAATTTGGAGTGTCGACGAAGACCCACCAACCTACAACCATAACGAGAATTTTATTTTTTATTTTTAAAATATCCCAGCAAGGCGCCAACCCACAAAATCCCACCAATGGTTAAATTTGAAGCTGCACTTGGTCTTGGTGGCAATCCTAGCCTATGTCGGCCTCCACGTGTCCCACACGCAATTTACTTATAAGGCCTAACAAACCACAACGAACGTTTTTCCCCGCACAAAGGTCGTAACCTCTTCCCCCCATTTTTGCTGCTCTTTCTTTACCGCCTCCGGTTTTAGCCGTTGGCTTCGTCGGAGGACCTCGAGAGCCAAGCTAAGGAGATACATTCTATACGCTCTGAAGCAACGTCAGTCGCCCTGGTTCCTCCGCGACAGCCAACGCCCACTCTCGCATTGCTCACTCCTCCCTCACCCTCCATTCATCTGATTAAATTTTTTAATTAATCAATGGCGGAAGAAGATAAATCACAGCCCTTGGTGGTCTACCTTCACGGCGACCTCGATTTGAAAATTCTAGAAGCGCGGTGTTTGCCCAACATGGATATGGTCTCCGAGCGTCTCCGTCGCTTCTTCTCGGCGTGCCGAAAGCCTTTTTCGAGTGGCACGCCGCACCACTCTCACCACAATATCATCACCAGCGACCCTTACGTCACCGTCTGCCTCGCCGGAGCCACCGTCGCTCGCACGCGGGTCATTTCCAACTCCCAGAACCCCGTCTGGAAAGAGCACTTCACGATCCCCCTCGCTCACCCGGTCTCCCAAGTCGACTTCTACGTCAAGGACAACGACATGTTCGGCGCTGATTTAATCGGCATCGCAACGGTTTCGGCGCAGCGAATCCTCTCCGGCGAAACCATCAGCGATTGGTTCCCGATCATCGGGCCATTGGGCAAGCCGCCGAAACCAGACGCCGCCGTTAAGCTGGAGATGAGGTTCACGAAATGCGAGGACAATCCGATGTATCAGCAAGGCATTTCAAACGACCCCGACCGTATCGGGATCCGAAATTGTTATTTTCCGGTGAGGCAAGGAGGGCACGTGACGCTGTATCAGGACGCACACGTGCCGGATTCAATGCTAGGGGAGATAGAATTGGACGACGGGGTTGTGTTTGAGCACGGCAAGTGTTGGGAGGATATATGCCATGCGATATTGGAGGCACATCACTTGGTGTATATCGTGGGTTGGTCCATTTTTCATAAGGTGAAGCTGGTGAGAGAACCCACGAAGCCTTTGCCGAGCGGTGGGAATTTGAATTTGGGGGAGCTGCTCAAGTACAAGTCCGAAGAAGGCCTGCGAGTTTTGTTGCTGGTTTGGGATGATAAGACTTCTCACAGCAAATTCTTCATCAACACGGTACCACCACGGTTTCCTTGTTTTTAATTTTCTTGACCAATCCATGATAAGAGCATTTTAATTCAAGTTACTAGAAATGATCAAGATTGATTTTGATTAATGGGATGCAGAATGGAGTGATGCAAACTCATGACGAAGAAACACGCAAGTTTTTTAAGCACTCTTCGGTTTCATGCGTGCTGTCACCTCGATATGCCAGCAGTAAGCTTAGCATTTTCAAGCAACAGGCATGCTTTATTAACTCACTTTTTTGCTATTTCTTTATTTGACCTGCTGAATTAAGTTAGGTGGTTTCAGCCAAACGTCTTTAGCTGCATTTGCTGATTAAATTTGGTCAAACACGTTCTCTGTAGGTTGTTGGAACTCTGTTTACCCATCACCAGAAATGTGTGATTGTGGATACACAAGCATCTGGAAATAATCGAAAGATTACTGCATTCATAGGAGGTCTAGACCTTTGTGATGGCCGCTATGATACTCCCGAGCATCGACTTTTTCGCGACCTTGACACTGTTTTCCAGGATGATTTTCATAATCCTACATTTTCTGTGAGCAGTATATTTATTTGTACTTGTTGTATTGTGTTTATTTTTCATTTCTTTCTGCTCAAGTGCCCCCTAACTGTTTGTGGAAATGCCACCATCATGATATGTGTAGGGAGGAACAAGGGGTCCAAGACAACCGTGGCATGACTTACATTGCAAGATTGAAGGTCCAGCTGCGTACGATGTGCTTACTAATTTTGAGCAGCGTTGGAGAAGAGCCACAAAGTGGTCGGAGTTGGGCCAACGCTTTAAGAAAGTATCTCGTTGGCACGACGACGCTTTAATAAAGTTGGAGCGGATCTCATGGATACTTAGTCCCTCCTCCTCAACTTCCAACGATGATCCCGCCTTACGGGTTTCGCATGAAGATGACCCTCAAAACTGGCATGTTCAGGTATTACTATCTTGCATTTCCTGCGCGCACATGCTTTGGTCTTCAATTTTCTACTATTGCCAATTGGTCCTAATTAGCAGCTGTTTAATTATTTTATATGTATGGAATTGACAGGTCTTTCGATCCATAGATTCTGGATCTCTGAAAGGATTTCCCAAGGATGTTTATGAAGCAGAGGCTCAGGTTGACTATTCTTTCCAACAAATCAACACACACAGAGTGCTTTTAATTAATTATAAACTGACTTCATACTGTCTACTGGCATGTGTTTACTTCAGAACATATTCTTTTGTTTATTTTTTAAATAATTTTAAACAGAAAATTTGGTAATGTAATCAGTCGATTGTTTGGCATTCTGTTCTACTGCAGAATCTTGTTTGTGCCAAAAATTTGGTAATAGACAAGAGCATCCAAACAGCATACATCGAGGCAATCAGATCTGCCCAACACTTCATATATATTGAGAATCAGTATTTCCTCGGATCATCATATGGATGGCCTACTTACAAAGAAGCAGGTTGTTATATATGATTTTCCAGTGCTGAAAACATATATATGGACTTCCTCCAGCACTATGTCATTAACATATATAAGTTTTCGATGAGCAGGTGCTGACAATTTAATTCCAATGGAGTTGGCACTAAAGATTGCAAGTAAGATAAAAGCCAATGAGAGATTTGCAGTGTATATCGTCATACCCATGTGGCCAGAGGGTGTGCCCTCTTCTGCTTCTGTGCAAGAAATTCTCTTTTGGCAGGTAATTAAATCACAAGAAAGGCCTTTGTCATTTATGTACTGGATCATCTTATCACTTATCATTGGCTTGTTTGATTTTTTTCAGGGACAGACAATGCAAATGATGTATGAAATCATAGCAAAAGAGCTGAAATCCATGAACCTTGAGAATGTTCATCCACACGACTATTTAAATTTCTACTGTCTTGGTAACCGGGAGAAGATACCGGACACAGTGTCCTGTGCAGTTAACAAAACTTCTGGAAATGGAGAATGTCACACGGTAATTATACAGAGCTACATATTAAACTTTTATTTTCTGTCACTCAAGCCATGAATATATGCATATGATAGCATACAAACCTGTGGAATGCGTTTTCAGGTTTCGGCCTCCCAAAAGTTTCAACGGTTTATGATTTATGTGCATGCCAAGGGAATGGTTGTAGATGATGAGTACGTGATCATAGGGTCTGCGAATATAAACCAACGATCCATGGCTGGTTCTAGGGACACCGAGATAGCCATGGGTGCATATCAACCGCATCACACGTGGGGCAAGAAGAAGCGGCATCCCCGTGGCCAGGTATTGCATTCTTAATTTATTGTAGTACATTGCACAATGTAATGTACATTGTGGGCAGAACACTTTTGGGAGTTAATGGAGGGTGTTAATTTGTTGTTGATATGTTTTGATGATCAGGTATATGGGTATAGAATGTCACTGTGGGCAGAACACTTGGGGATGGTGGATAGTTGCTTCAAGGAGGCTGGAAGTTTGGAGTGTGTGAAGCGAGTGAACTCGATTGCGGAAGAGAATTGGACGAAGTTTGTGGGAGATGAGTTTGCA